CATACATACATACATACATACATACACATCTGACATGAGAACAGACAAAACAAAACAAAAAAACATTTAAATAGTAAAGAGGGGAGAAGTGCAAACAGGTTGTGTCCGGGGTGAGAGGGGTCTTTGATGATGTTTCCTGCCCGTTTCTTCACTCTGGAGTTGTACAAGTCCTGAAGACTGGGCAGGTGCACACCAATGATTCTTTCATTAGTTGACATCTCTGAAATCTGGCCAGTACTGGTATTTTATGAAACGGGTTATAGTTAATGTTTATTGTTAGATAATAGACATTTATAGTATGATATACAGTTAGATAACTTGAGAAACACCTTATTAGCGATCATAACCAGATGCTAGTTGTTATATTTTTTTAAGTTTTTAGTCTTTCTGTAGTCTTTCTCCCCTGTAGGGGGTTGAATGGGTTTTAGTAAAGACTGCCCAGTCAAGGAATACAATAAAGAGTTTCGCTGAATGCAACTGGTTGCCTTTTGTGTTTTTTTTTTAAACATTTTGAACTTTTTTTATTGGGCTAAATTCCATATTTGCTTGCCTTTTGTAATATTCATTTATGTTGTATGCTTACGTGAATATCATAAAATAACAAGTAATTAACCTTTTTAAATTTGACATATAAAAAAAAAAAGTTACACAAATCAAATGTTTTATAATGTCTAAATATATATTCAAATGCAAAACCTAAAAAAAAAAAAAAAAAAAAAAAAAATAAAAAAAAAAAAAGCGATTTGCAGCTCCAACGTTACTACAAACAACAATAAAGGTGCAAATGTGTGTGTATGTATATATACATACATGCATACAAACATATAGTTTTTTAAAATTATTTATTTAAAAAAGGGTAAATAATAACTAGACAATGGAAAATTAAACTTAATATTATTATAAATCATTATGATTAATAATGGCTCCTGATCATTAGGCCTATAGCAAGGCTTCAAAATATTAATTTAAAATGTTTTTTTTTTTAAATTAAACTTCAAAACAAATGTTTTACAGTTTTATCTTAAAAAAACAAAAAAAAAAAAAAAAAAAAAAAAGAAAGTAATCAGTCATGACCGGTAAAACTCTTTTGAGCAATTAGAGTAGCGCTAAATACATAATCTATATTTATTAAACAGCCATACGGGTTTCTAGTGGTTAAACCATGGCATTACATATGAATATTGTTTTTGGCCACCAAACGCCTCTAATTTACCTGTTTGCACTTGAATTTAGAAATGGTCTGTCTATTTTAAACCTAAATAGTACACTAATTGTAATATAAATAATAAGCATATTAGAAAATGTTATATTTTAAATGATCATTCATGGATCATAATTATTGCACATATTATTTCGTACCAAATATCGCCTCAAAATAGTAACTAAATAAAACGGAACTAAAATATAGTACAATAATTTTAATGATTAAAAGTTAAATGTAAGGTGTTTGGTCACATCTGACTGACAAGGAGTATGAGAACATATTAATGCTGTCTCTTTATCACTCCCCAGAATTAAATGCTATTGTAAAGCATAGCCAGAGTAGTTATCAATGCACATTATGTGTTAATAATTACTAGACCATTTGAATCCACATGGATTATCTATTTTAAATTCACACATTGTACTCAACACCACTAAAACTTTTTCTGATGAAAAGGTCGTGTCTCCAAACGGCCAGTTTTGATCTCGATGCTCCTCGGGTACATTTTTACAAATAGCGTGGTCCTGCCCTCGGATCAATATCTTCTGGGACGCGATCTCAGAAGCCCTGTCTGGGAACATTCCCTCTAAACCTAATATTATGTAACTGAACCATAGTTGAGTTTTGAGTTTTATGTTTGGCCCCCTGGACTGACTGCAGCAAAACAATAACCAGGTGTTTTCTGTCAGTGAGCCCGGTTTTCCCTCACCACTAAACCAGCCACTCACATACTCTGTTCCAGCACATTTATTTATTTAATTAATTAATTTATTTGTTTGTTCATTCGTTCGTTCAGTCAGTCAGTCAGTCTTTCGGCGAAAATCGTTTTTGCCTGCTGACAAAAATATTACCATATATCATCTTTAATAATTTTAATCAATTTACTGAGCAAAAAGTCAATTTAGAGTGAAAAATTAAACCAAAATATTAAAACATTATTTTTTACATTTATTTTTTGCTCTCTCCCTTTTCTGTCTTTTTTTTATTTATTTTTTTTACAATTCAATCGTTAAACATTAAAACCTGATTAAAACCTGACTCCACTATTGTAATGCAGTATTGTGAATTATTGTTTTAGTTATTCATTCATCTAAAACATTCAAAATAGTTTTGAGTCAGTGTTATTTTAGTATCACTGATATACTATTATAGTTTTTCTTGTTATTTTGATTGAAACAATTTATGATTAGAATTTTATTTTACGTTTTAGCAATTTTGTTGTGTTTTTTTTGTCATTTTTTATTTGTTTAAAAATACAGATTTAAGATGTAACATTTGTATTGTAATACATTTTGATTAAAAATAAAAATAAAACAATATAAAGGACACAATGTAAAGAAATTACATTATAAAATAATATTTCTTATTTCTTATCTGTATTCATAGATTTCAACAGGGTTGCAGTTACATAACCGGATGGCAGGCGAATACTTTTTTTAATTTTTTAATTTTTTTTAATAAATTAGGCAGTTTTGTTTAACATTTTAGTTTAAATTATTTTAGTTATTTAGTACTTAAATATAAAAAAAGTCTTATTTTCATTTTGTTTAAATTTTATTTTATTTCAGTTAATGTTTAGTTCAAGTAATAACATTTTCTATGGTTTTAGTTTTAGTTAATCTTAAAGGTGGGGTAAGCAATTTTTCAGAAACGCTTTAGAAAACTGATTCGGGCCGAATAGCAAAACAAACTTGTAGCCAATCAGCAGTAAGGGGCGTGTCTACTCATGATGTGGAGGAGAGAGTGTTCAGTGCACAGAACGGACATTAGCGAGCCGAACGACAGAAAGATAGAGGTGGTGGATAAAAAACAAAAGAGGAAAACGTCTGCGGAACAAACGAAGACTTAAGGCAATAAGGCAAGAAGTAGGACCCGTGTAAATATTGGATCAGCTTTCCAGCGCTGGAGAGAACTCAAGGAGCGGAAGGCCTGCGATTGGATGCCGAGGTTGCTTTGCAGCATCACTGATTATAATGAGTTCTATAGTATTTTGTCGCGCCGCACCGCTCGCGTCTGGTGTAGACACGGTGTTACATTGGTTTTGCTTTGTTTCACAGAACTAATCGTTGCCTGGGTTGTGTACGTATGTGTGGGGCGGAGCTATCAAAATAAAGGCGAGACCCTTTTGGGGTAGGGGCGTGTTTGTTTTGGTGATCTCAAATGTCAACATTGGCTACCAGAAATCACTTACCCCACCTTTAATAACCCTGTTTTGAATCAAACAATCATACTCTTTATACAAACATACATTTGCATATTGTGTGTATTGTGGATAATGTATTGTTAGGCCGAGTTATATTCTTTTTACTTGAAAAACAAAAAAGTTAATCACAAAAAGAAGATTAATAACAATGCAGTGATGTCATCATTAAGTGACTTGGCGGGGCGTCCTTTAAAACAGCCAGGACTTTGTGAAACTCAGCGGAAGTTGTACTGCGGCTGATTGCTATTTGATTTGCCACACAGCTTGATTTGTTTTGTGCCACATCATGCTGCAGAAGTGAGAAGATGCTCCGAGGAGATGCTTTTGAGTGTCGGGATTTCATCCGTTAGAAGCTGAGAGTCGACTGCACTGACAAAGAGATGAGAGTGTTTAAAATGCGGGCTGTGTCTTTGGGAGGTACTAAGAGGAGGAAGAATATTCCAGTGGGGCGAGCGAGGAGTTATGTGCTCAACCTGTGAAATGAATTATTACCGAGAGCTAATTAAAACTCAGGCTGACACGTGCAAAAGTATATATATATATGCATGCACACACAGAGCTCTTTGCCATTACAGGGTTAGGTATGCGCCTCGGAGCCGCCGGGGGACTTTTACACATTAATCTTGCGGTTTAAATTCCTCAAGGTGTCAGAACGTTACACACCACGATGCAGGAGGGAACACAGCAGGACAAATTAATTGAATTCTGGGACTACAATGCGATTTTTTTCCTGATGACCTCTGTGTGTATTAGTCTCATGTTACTGAGCATATTTCTACCAATGGAGTGTGAAATTAATGCAGGCATTGATGTGACTGTCTAGAAATACAAAGGAGTCAGAGATCTGGTTGAATAAAATAAGAAAGCAAGTTTGTTTGCGTTTGCTTCAGTAGTTTCAGTTTTATGACCAATGGCAGATTAGTGGAACTGGGAAACCTGTTTGGAAACTACTAATTGCAGTACACAGTATGTATACAGTGCACAGTATGCACATTTACTGTATGAATACGTATTTGGATGAACTTTTACATTTGCAAACGTGCAATATGCAACAAAGCACACTATATTTAATACTGTATCCCACAATGCAATCCACACAATTTGACCATCCATTACTACTGTGATTTCTGCATTTGTATTTTAAATACAATACCGGTCAAAAGTTTTTGAACAGTAAGATTTTTTTTTTTTTTTTTTTTTTTTTAAATTTTTTTTTTTGGTCGTTTGACTGAGTTAAAAGTCCGCATGATTAGGAAATAAAAAATATTGATCTGTTATGTCTTATCTGTAGATACCAGGAGAGTGTCTACTGCCAGCAGTGACCTCTCAGGACCAGGGAAAGATCTGTGTGATCATAGATCTGGATGAAACACTGGTGCATAGCTCCTTTAAGGTACACCCAGGTTATTAACACTGATTGATATTGTAAATTTGTAATTTTAAGGAGCTTCATACTGTGTAACTAAGAATAGGTGCATATGAAATATTAGCTGTACTGTAATTATTGCATGTAAGCAACAATTATTGGCATGCAAACAACTGTGTTAATAACAGTTTATCACTCCACTGGTGTTTTTAACCGTATCCACATTGTTTTTGTAGCCAATAAGCAATGCAGATTTCATTGTGCCTGTGGACATTGAGGGGACCACACACCAGGTGAGATCTGATAAATGTTTGTGTATGTGAGAAACAGCAGTAATCCCCTGCCAGTGCGCACTGACTTGAATTGTGCTGGAGGAGAGTGGAGATGTTAATGTAGTATATTTAAAAGTGAATGATGAGCGCCATCTGCTGGACTGATGTAAGAGCAACTTTTCAGATTGTGACATCAGCGCACAATCACAAGATTGCCCATTAATTCATTTATTTAACTGCATTTGGCCTCTGCCTGGTTCAAGTAATCCAGGATAGGTTAGTTCCCACTAGTACGGCCTATTCTTGATTACTTGTTTCAGGAGGAGGCTACGAGCGACAGCACTAAATGGATCTACAGAACATTTTGTGATTAATTTTATTTACAGAATGTTGCAACTCTAAAGCCTCTACATTTGAATGGTGAATTAAAATCATTAGTCACATGAACAACAACGAACCCATCTGTGTTTTAGGTGTATGTGTTGAAGAGGCCATACGTGGATGAGTTTCTCCAGAGGATGGGAGAACTGTTTGAATGTGTTCTGTTCACTGCCAGCCTTGCTAAGGTATTCATTATTAGGAGCTTCGGGAAATAGAAATTCCTCACTAGTGCTGGTCAGTTATGCTCCTGTAGTGTTAGATTTATTTTCTTCTCCAGTAACAAAGTGTCTTTAACCCATCCCTCCTTGTCCTCATTCATGGCTGTTAGTATGCAGACCCTGTGACTGACCTGCTGGATCAGTGTGGCGTGTTCCGCACACGCCTCTTCCGTGAATCTTGCGTCTTCTATCAAGGCTGCTATGTTAAAGACCTGAGTCGCCTCGGCCGTGAGCTCCACAAAACCCTGATCCTGGACAACTCCCCTGCCTCCTACATCTTCCACCCCGAGAATGCTGTGGGTTTCACTGTCCTGCCGCTATTTAGCGTTTTTGTTAAAGCCTGCCTTCTAGATTCTCCCTCTTGCTATTTAAAGGGTTAGTTCACCCAGAAATGAAAATTCTGTTATTAGTTAGTGCCATGTTATTCCAAACCTGTAAGACCTCTGTTCATCTTTGGAACACAAATTAAGATATGTTTGATGAAATCCGAGTGCTTTCTGACCCTGCACAGGCACATTCAAGACCCAGAAAGGTAGTAAGGACATTGTTAAAATAGCCCATGTGACATCAGTGGTTCAACATTCATTTTATGAAGCTACGAGAATACTTTTTGTGTGCAAAGAAAACGAAACAAAAAAAACCCAGACTTCATTCAACAATTCTTCTCTTCCGTGTCGGTCTCTGCTGCGCGTTCATGACCGTACCAC